TTCTTTGATCTCAAAATCATTCAATTTTATACGCATTTCATCCATGTGTCAGTTGGCTATGCACGAAAGTCAACTAGGTGGAAAACATGAGTTTTTCAATAACAGCTTGCGGATGTCCAGCAGCGTCGCATAGAGAGCCACGTGCGATTCTGTCAGCGAAGAACGTCAATTCCTCTTCACTGGGCGAGGAGGAGAACGTGAGGACAACAACGGGTCGAATATTCAACGGGAAGCCGAGCAAACGAGGCTCTTGGCCTTGGCAGGTGTCTCTCCAACTCCTTCATCCAAAGTTAGGATTTATCGGTCATTGGTGCGGTGGTGTTCTCATTGAGCCCACTTGGGTCGTCACAGCTGCTCATTGTATTCATAAGTGGGTTTCACTTTTCATTGGAATTTACGAGTTTAGTAACGAGAGATTATCGGTATATAGAATGACTTGGAATGATTTGAAAGGAATAAAAATTAATGAACATTGGAAAATTTCCATGAAATTATAATAATTGAAAAAAATATTTCTTACATTGTAAGCAATCTGTCTGTTAGAATTTTTGTTTTATCATTTTGTTTAAAACACAATGTATAAATTTTATATTAATATATATTTTAAGATGCAAGATAATGAATAGTTTTACTTTTTTTCTACCTGAAACACGGGTGTTGGAAGGAGAGACTTAAAATTGAAATGGAATATCGTATTAACAAAAATCTCATTGCTAAACTAAAATATATATATTTTTTTGTTTTATCTTCGCCTATAAATTCCGATATTTACTTACAGCGAGCTTTTCAATTTGCCAATTGGTGCACTATGGACGGCAGTCGTCGGGGAATGGGAATTAAACTCCGGTGGACGTGGCTCGGCAAGACTACCTGTTGAACGGGTGATCCTCCATGAGAGATTTAACAATTATTTACACGATATCGGTATATATAAATCATTTCAACTTACATATGAGAAAAATTTGAAATATTCGAAGTGAAACAGTAATTTCTTTTAAATATTATAATTTTACAATTATCGCCAAACCAATTTTATTTTTCGATAAGTTAAAAAATAGGGGGAAAGATAAAAGAATTAATAAGGAAATATTGTTTCCAGCATTGATGAAACTAGCTAGACCAGCCCCTTTATCCAAAGTAGTACGAACGATATGTTTACCGGAACCGGAAGAGAAGCTTGCAAACAGATATTGCGTCGCTTCTGGCTGGGGTCGATATGGCCCCTCTCAGTCACTTTCTACTGCACTTTTAGAAGCCTCCGTGCCGTTACTAGATCTTGAAAAATGTACGAAAGCTTATGGGAAATCGGTATCGCTTCGGAATGGCCATCTTTGCGCTGGTCACACTGATGGCTCGACCGGAAGTTGTGTGGTAAACGATATATATTTATTGAATCTATTAAATTATAATTGAAGCTTAAAACCAAGCCTTCAATAGTATGCAAATTTTATTCCGTTTATTTCTATTCATCCAAATTCAAAAATGTTTCGATCGTTTAAATTTATGACACATCATGTTTTTATGTGTTGCATTGTATCATTAAAATCTACTCAACTAGATTGAAATTTTTGCATTCTCCTAATAATCATAATAATCACAATTCGATCTCTATGAAGCTCGAGATGAAATGATGAATTATTCATTTCAACTTGTAAGATCGATAAATCTCTTCATTAAATTAATCTCTCTCTTATTAAATTTTAATCTCAATCACATTTCACCAAGTATACTAGATATTGTAAATATTTTTATAATTGAATGTTATTAAAATTATACATTCATAATAATGTAACAAATATATTTTAAATATCTTTATTAATGTTGTTATGAGTATTTTTTCTAGATTTATTAAGCGTTTAAAGTAATGTATCAAATTTCAAAGAGAAAATATTGTTGTTCAGGGTGATTCTGGAGGACCATTACAATGCCGTCGCGCAGACGGTGTATGGCAACTGGCAGGCGTCACTTCTTTTGGATCAGGATGTGCCAGGCCAGGATATCCTGACGTCTACACTAAGATTCAGTATTACGTTAAATGGATAAGAAATACTATGAGCAATGACGACGATACGCAACTTTTTTAATTTTTTTAATCAACATGTAATAACTCACGTGTACCTTGAAATGTAGATAACATTTATGTAAATATTAATGCGAAGTAGAATCATTGTATATATTGACATAAATAAACACATTTTTGTATGTTTCAATATATATATATATATATATAATTAATTTTAGAACAAAAGTTTACTTTGATCTTCGAAATATATTTTAAACGACTCTGATATTAATTTTAACGTTCCATAATTAATTCTAAATTTTCACCAACCTAAATTTCTCGTTATATATCCCACTTTCCTTTCATTCTAAATATTCTACGCATTAACATTATTTTCTTATCCATTCAAGTTTCTTTCCAATTTCGAAACAATTTCGAAAAAGATATTCGTACAATTGAAAACCATAAAACCTCGATATTCCAATAAGAAATGGAGCAAATACATACATGTACGTAACTACACACGTGCACGCGTGTAGAAATGAAAGCGTAACCACTGGCAAGTTCCAAAGAAAAACCATTTGCCAGGGGCTAAGATATCCATCTATGCACACCATGTGTACATGCATCGAAACGATGTCTCGTGTCGGGAATACCAACATCTGCATTTATATGACTCTCGTGCGGGAGAAGGTAATCTGAAGTTGTTTCACCCTTTCTGAACGTCGTGGATTCAACGTTACGCAACCTCGTGATTGTGCGTATGACATGGGGAGACGATTGCATTTCCTCTTCCTATCTCATCCACCTTTGCCCCTCTTCAGTCGATGAAATTAGAAGTATCGATCTACAGGGAATGCGTACATTGTGGTAACTAAGAGAAGCAGAGAGTACACAAATTACGCCGAGGTGCATCCATTAATTAGCTTAATACGACCCACTTAACATACGAAAGGATCCTCTGATCAAGTTTCGTTTGCAGAGCTGCTTATTCACCGTGTTTCTGTTATGCAGAATTGCATATATCATGTTCAAGTGTCGTGTGTTCATCGATTTATTTGTATTCTTACATGTCTGTAAATTAAAATTAATTAGCAATCACTTTTATTTCTTTTCTCATTTGAAAATTGAAAACAAGTTTTTAAAAGTTTTTAAAAAATACATACATGTTTATGGTTCATGAATAATACAGAAGAATGTATTTATGGAAATTAAATCAATTTATGAAGATATTATTCTTGGATGTTATGTGAGAATATAATAATTTTATTGCATTAGATTTATGATGAATAAAATGATTTTAAAAATATATTTAATAATATATTATACATATCAAAGTAAAGTAAGGATATGTAAAAACATCTGTTAAAAACATGAATTATAAAGTTATTAAGGAAATTAAATTTTAAGTATAAAAGCTGAACTATCATACATCAAGTTCAAACAAGCTAGCAGGAACAAACTTCTCCATCTAGAACAATAAATAAACTTCAATGAACAAGTTTCATAAACATTGTTATTCTATGCACTTATGATTAATTACAAAATATAGTTATATACTATTTCCATAAATTTTTAAAAATATGAAAAAAAAAACTACAAAAATTAAAAGAATATAATAATCGTTAATCATGGATAAAATTTAATTATCTAATCGGTTAAACCTTATATATCGATTTGCATTAATTAGTAACTATTAATTACATTAGAAGTCTAATATACTGCAATTGCACAGCTATTGTTGTCAGTTTGCGTGTTTTGTATTTAACAAGCGTTTAATTAAATCATACATTACATTTCATTTAAAATTATTTCATTAACTTCTATCGTTTTTTGTAAATATATTTTATTTATAAATATAATAAAGCTGATATATTTCTTAATATTATTTTTATGTGGAAATAATAAAAATCATGAGTTGCTTTAATGACATAATGTAATGTCATTTCTCTTCTGAATTGCTTTTTTGAGAATAATTAGTTTCACCTGCTATTAGCTGATTAAACTTGGCGTAATCTCAGGGGAAGTTGAAAAGGTGTGTCATTTAATATGAAATTCCTTAATAATATTTCCATCCTATCATTTGACTCGATGTATTATTGACTGTTGCTTATAATTACCTATAATATAGCGGGGAAAAATAAGAATAATAAACATATTAATAAAAAATGTTAAATTTCTTTAAGCTTTTATATTGTATAACAATATAAATAATATAATAATAAATATATTAATAATAATTAAAAATAGTATATCATGATTAGTTACTTATTATTGATGAAATATGTTCATAGAAATTCTTTTGCAAAAATAATTAGGATTATCAGTTCAACCCTTAATATGTTTCTAAGTATAGTATATGCTTATATAGGATATGTGCACACGCATCTCTATGTATACGTACATAATGAAGAATGATTCAATGTAGAAGAAAAGATACACATATTCGTTTTCATCATAATCAATCATATATTCATATTCTTCTTCCTTTTCTCAATACAATAAACTTTTGCAACAATTTTTTAATTTAATCTTCCTATTTTTATTTTCCAATAAACTTTATTTTTATTTAAATTACACTCTATATAAAAGGAATACTGCTAAATTAATAGCAACTAAATGTTAATCCATATAAAAACTACAATTCTGTTCATACACAATTTGATATCTTACTCATTATCCATTATTTTTATTTTATAATATGAAATTCTTCTTAATAAAATCTATAAAATTAAATCCATATTTTGTTAACTTAAATGTAATCTATATATGTCTGATACTTAACTTAGATTTAAGTTAAATCTAATTTATATTTAACTTAAACCAATTCAAATTTTAATCTCATAATTGACATAGACTTAATCTAAATTCAACTCGAATCCTCGTCTTTTTTTAAATTATTCGATCCAAATACAATCGTTAATTAAGAAATAATAAAAAATCTATTATATGCAACATCATGATGATACCCTCGTTCAACAATGTTTAACAGCCAAGCAGAGTTGACATGCGCGTGGAACCGCGTCCGTGAAACGAACAGGGAGAGTGCGCGTTCCTGATCAGTAGTAGCACACTTTCATCGTGGCGAGGAAAGTGAACAAGTCGAGTGACTCGTTTCGTCCACGTTTGAGGAATCATCCACGCTATACACACGGTATACACGAGCGCGCGCTCTGCCCACGAAAATCATTTGCACGAGTGAGAGAAGCTCTCGTAGCAAAAAGAAAAAGAAAGAAGAAAGAAAGAGAGGAGTAAGCATTAAGAGAAAGGAAGAAACATCTCGGCGAATTCCATTCGATCCAGGAAAAATTATCGTTTTTTACCCGTGTAATCGGGTGGGGTGCTTGTTAAGAGAACGAATTGTTCAAGAAAGTCGAAATAAGAAGGAATTAATAATTGTGCAACGTTTGCTCGTATATAGAAAAATACGAATAGAAAAATACGGTATAGAGCAATATTTAATACCGCCAAATATATTTAAATATTATATATGTATATATAAAAATAGGAATTATATAATAGTGATTAATATTGAATAATATTCTCGATAGGATCTGAACGAAGAAAGAAAGAAAAAATGATTCATGAAGTCGCATGTCCATTCGGTTTCGCCCTTTCCAAGGGGAGAATAGAGGAGGCGTGAGGTAGATGAATCATTGAGTCGGCCTCTGACGTGTCGAATAAAAGAGGGAGGCGATCGAAGAATCAAAGCGGGGCAAGGTTGCAAACCAAGTAAGAACTCATTTCTATGTCTAGGATTGGTTCATGTTCATATGAAACGTGAACGAAAGTAATATGATTAATGACAGAGAATTTGTTTCATTCAAATGACAAGATGAATTTGTTCGATTCAAAATGGCTACCGATTTTATTGTACACACGCTATTTTTATTTGATATTATTGTTGGAAAAAAAAATTTACTCAGAAAAATTGATTTCTTTTCTGTCGAATATTAAATATGTATGTTAATTTAATGATTGTTAGAATTTTCTTAAAATTTGTTTATGTATTCTCAGATTATTGATATTAGAAATCTAAAAAAATAATTTTTCATTTAAGAAAATGTATGTATTTAAGATAATATTTAATTTTATTTTCAAAATTCTCATTATCAATTGCTATATTGTAAAATAATTTTTCTTTTTTTTTTTATTTCTTTAGTTTCCAACAATTGAGTAATTATATTGAAAGATGAGTAAAAATAACGAGAATGGAATATCTCTGGCAACACCTCCAGCTATTCACGTTGGTCCGATAGTGAATCCAGGCACTAATGAGACCATTTCTATCGTGATACCGTTAGCAACTGTTACCAGTCAAAAAATTGAAAATTCATGCAAAGATTGCAATAAAGATACCAAACATTCCTCCAACAATGTCAATTCTCGGCCAAAAAACGATAAAACCAAGGGATGTCCTTATCCTGGTTGCACCAGATATGGTAGAGCTTTCTCTAGAGCACACGATCTGAAACGCCACATTGCTCGTCATGAAATGAGAAAAGAAAAACTATGTGATTATGAAAATTATAAGCAACGACAGAACGATAAAGAGAGTATTGAGAGTATAACAAATGGAATAATTAATAGGCAACATATCGTTTGGAATAACGAATCACATGAAAAATCTTATTCTTGTTTACACTGCAAGAGGAAGTACACTAGCGAGATCAAACTTAAGGCTCATATGAGTTCTCATGAAAAGGTATGTGAAAGTTATATATATTTTTCAAATCAATAGAAAAAGTTGGAATAAATATAAGAAAATATTATACTTTCAATTAAATGGATCCATATTAAATGGATAACTTGTTCGGATAATCAATAATTTCGTTTTATTAATATAAAATACCAAGTATATAATAGCTAGCATTATTCAATGCAATCATAAAAAATTTTTCAGAATTCAGAATAGATCTAGATTAAATTATTCTCTATTTTTATAATCATCTTTTATAATAATAAAATATTTTATATAATAAAACATAAATTAATCAGTTTTTTTGTTAATCTGATAATTAAAGAAACTTTATTTATTAATCACACATTTTAATGTCAAATATATTCATTTATATTACCAATGTTTAATAGATTCCAGGCAAGAATGTGTGTGCTTTATGTGGAACATGTTCCCGAAACGAAGAAGAATTACAAGAGCACATGAAACAGCATACAGCAAACATACTGGAATCACAAACAGCATTAGAGAATGGTGAAAAGGAACAACCAGACAAAGAAGATGACTTCCTGCTCGAAGAAATGTTACTTCTCAATAAAAATCCACGAAGAACTATGCAACAAGAAAAAAATAATTCAAATACAGTATCTAAGATAAGATGTGACTACTGTTCCAAAACTTTCAAGACCAAATGGACATTGAGCTCCCACGTGGCGGCTCACGAAGGCCGTTTTCAATTTGATTGCGGTCAATGTGGTAAAAAATTCGTCAGAAAAAGTCATTATGAAGGTCATATGAGATCCCACGAAGCTGCAAGACCCTACGTTTGCGAACAATGTGGAAAAACATTTAAAGAATTAAAACATAGAAGAGAACATACTAAAAGGAAACATCCTACCAATCAAAACGCAATCCAAACACTTCTGGATAGCATCAGCCCTTGTGGATCTGAGGAAGTACCAGTGGATCAAACGAAGTTCACGCTTTTGATGCCTGTTAATTTTTCCGTGTAGTCTTGAACATGATTTATCCTGAAATAGTTAAAAATGATTAGATAAATGCGTAATCTTGTTAAGTATGGAAAACGATAAAAATTTTGTTTTAATATGATACAAAAATTTTGACATTAATTTTGATTTTAAATTTAGAAGATGTTAAATCCTTTTTTGACGAGGATTAACGATGAAACAGGGTTTGAAGAACTAAAGTAAGATTTAAAATGAAAGTTTTTAGAGAAAGTTTCTGAAGGATTGTCCTTTTTTAATAAGGAGATTGTATATTATGGAATGATATATATTGTGAAATGAAATTTTATGAGAAATTATTTTTATGAAATTTTTATTATTTATTTTTAAGAATTTAAAAATAATATTTTACTAATTTTCAATGAATTATTTATTTCACAATATATAGAAAATTGATGATGTATAGTCATTGTAACAATTATAATTATTGTTGTACATTCAAAATTGCGATTATATATAATTTGAATAATTTTAAGATTCTATTTTTTGTGTCAATAATAAAAAAAAACTGTACATTATTTCTTGAAATATACAGAATAGATAAAAACTAAAGACAATCTCAACATAAAAATGACATATAAGCTGTACATATATGACTCTAATAAATCAGTCATTATAAAAAATAAATATTTATTATTTTCAATAATTATCATTACTTTTCATTAATATGAAAAGAATTTTGTAATATGAAAAAAATGTAACATCCTGTACAAAAATTGTAAAAGAATCGAAGTAAGAACTCGATTAAAACGATAGCTGCATATCGCTTTTGTTTTGCCTTGTCTGACATTTTTAGTTTTATTAAATTTTTATCTAAAGGCAACGTTTTAATTAGAACAAAGTGTAATGTAATAACGAGGAAAACTTAATTAGTTATTCAACATCATAACGACGTAAAGAAAGAAGAAGAAAACAAAAAATACGCAAAGTAGCATCGACTGCCAAACATCAAAGAATATCATCAATTTATATTTTCCTCCATTTCTTTTCCTCCTTTTAATGTTCTTCCATTTTAAATGAATGTGAATAAACGAGCAAAAATACCAATTATAAAATGCGATCAATACCAGGAGTCGCAAATAGATCAAGAAAAATTACAAAAAGAAGAGAATTATTATGGCTATGCGTTGGACACGCTTCCGCCGGAAGTTTTAGAGATGATTCTTCGATTACTTCCTCTTCATGATGTAGCCACTACCATACGTTTGGTTTCTAGGTGATTTTTTAAATGTTATTGTTTATTTCGACGTTCTTCATTAATTTATCATTATCTACGAAAAAAAAAATTTTTTTTATAAAATATGATATTTTACTTTATTGTGTATCATTATGATATTTTTGAAAAAAATTAATTAAAGATTTCATATATTTTTTCTCCATACTTACTTATAAAATTTAATCATAATTGCCATTTTAATTTTAATAAAATTGATAAATTTTATCCTATATATTTTAAAAGGTCAATATTATTTTTACGTTTTTTTAGACATTGCTCAACGGTAGCGGCTGCAGTTTTGAATGGAGCTTTTCTCACCGCCTGCACGAAAGTAGAAGGATTGATAAGACGTAACGAAGAGCTAATGAAAAATGCAAAAACAGATACCGAATTATTGGCTTATAGCAAAGCTCTGAATGCTCTAGAATTGATCAAAGCACAATATAAAATGTTACGAGCCGTAACGTGGAGATATACACATCCACCATCGAAGCAACAAAAGTTCTCGCGACTTTGTTTCTACGCGGGCAGTTTACTTGACAACTTGAACGAACTTCTTAACCGAATTGCAAACTATCATCCATCTATTATCGGTCCTCGTACTTCGGAATCGAGTGTCACTTCTTTTATAGCCATCTGTAAACGATTTATGAATTTTTTCGAAAAAGTCTCTGAGCGCAGGGTAAACAGGTGAATTATTTTATAAAAGGATATTAGCCTTGGTACTACGATTCAAATTTTTAACCTTTTTTTCCCTTCGGCCATATGATAAAAAATATCGAATAATTTCAAACGAATCTTAATATCTCAACTAATCCATAAAAATTTAATTTTTTCCAATTATTTTTAGTATACAGAAAATAATTTCTAAATTTTGCTTACATTTATGGATTAAAATGTTACGCGACGAAATAATATTAGTAGATCGGCCCTAATCTCTGGATGCAAGGTCGTAGATGTTTTGGATTGTCTCGTAGAAGGTCGACAAGTACTATTTTTCAAAGTATCATCTAACAGAAGAGGTTTCGGTGGAGCTGTAAGCATGAAACTGAAATACACAATGAAACGTGCTTGGTTTACCTGTTTAGAAGTTACAAAAAATACCGAAGAAAACTCTTGGAGGGACGAACAACGTTTCATGTATCTTCGATTACGACGTCTAGTGGGTAGTGTGAACGAGCATCTCTTCGAGAATTTACATTACGAACACGAACTACTCTTACAGGTTACATTTGCAAAGGCGAGAGAAACAAAGCACGAAACGAAGTATTATTATCGATAAATAGTTCTATCGATATTCTTTCCTTCCTAGATTCCTTTGACACTTCCATTAAGACCTCCACCAGCTTCCACTTACTCGGGATACGGAGAGTACGGTGGACGTTTCTTTTACTATGGAAATATGAATAAATATGCATATGAAAGTAAATTCATGCATACAGTGAGCACGGCAAATCTAACAGTCGAAACTGAACAACAGGTCCAGAGACCACCGTCATTTGATCTAGTGATTGAGGTTGATTTAAAGTGCACACCAGAATTGGCGCCACTTGCTGTCAGATCGATTTTAAAATCTGATGAATTTGAAACCAATGAATTGAAAACGTACAAGAATCAGCAGCTCTATTTACGAATGAATGTTATATGCTCAGCGTCGATAGCTAATAGATTACCTGGTAATTTTGTGTGGGAATTGCGTAGTCCACGACATGTATGTCAAAATTTGTGAATTACCTCGGTTTTTACATTAAAATATTACACTATAAAATATTGTAAGCACATACATTCATAGTCATATACATGTACACATATATACACACACATACGCGTGTATATATATGTATATATATTGAAATTATACAATTATATATCTTATATTAATTTTTATTGCATTAGCTGTGTGTGTGTATGTGTGTGTATATATATATATATATATATATATATATATATATATATATATTAA